CTTATTAATTATATTATATATTTTTATATTTTAGCGCCTCGCTTCGCTCGGGCGAGCGCCAAGCGCCTCGGGCATTTTTGGACCTTGGCGCCTAGCGCTTTTTAAATCACTGCTAAAGACCGAGACCATCACCTCCTTTGACCAGCTCGCCAGGGACTTCGAGCTCAACTTCCTAGCTCACGCTCGACCAAAGCCGTCCGTGGCGTTGCTCCTCGGACTCAACCAAAGGGAGGACGAGCCTCTCTCCCATTTTGTGAACCGCTTTACGACGCAAATTCAGGGGCTGTCGGACGCTCACCCCTCTCTGTTGATGCAGGCGTTCATGATAGGCCTACGGCCTTCCAGGTTCTTCTGGTCTCTCGTGGAGCGACCCCCCACGGCGGTGCCCGAGATGCTGCAGCGAGCGAGCCAGTTCGTCGCCGCAGAGACATGGACGGCCGGGAGGCGTGAAGAGCACAAGAGGGGCAAGTCAGAACCGCCCCGGCAGCAACAACCCGTCGTATCCCGGCGTAGGTTAGATAGATCCAACCCGCCGACACCAAGGTCCCCTCTCCCCGCCTTGAACTCGTCCCGAACAGAAATATTTCTCCACATAAAGGAGAATGGACTACTCAAAGATCCTCACCCGATGAGGAGCCCGCGAGAGCTTGCAGACCGATCAAAATATTGTCGCTTCCATCGGCAGCATGGGCATGACACTGAACAGTGTTGTGAGTTAAAAAGGCAGATCGAGGAGCTCATTCATAGAGGGCATCTCGGCTAGTACCTTCGACCAGACAAGGAACTTTCGCCGCGCCCGGAGGGCCCTATCGAGCGACACATCGATGTGATAGCCGACGGCCCCGCGTCTGGCGGGGGCTCCATGATGGGAAGAAAGGCTTACGCCAGAGCCGCCCCGACCGAAGCTCACGGGAACGGACCCGAACCCGAGATCACTTTCCCGACCGGAGCATCCGAACAACCCGAGCACGACGACGCGCTTGTGATATCGGCCAGGATCGCCAACGCGCAAGTAAGGAGGATCATGGTCGATACCGGGAGCTCAACCGACATACTTTACTTCGATGCCTTCCAGAAGCTCGGCTTGGCTAGGGAGAACATGAAGCCAATGTGCTCGGCGCTCACCGGATTCACCGGAGATTCGATCTTACCGCTGGGAGCTATCACCCTGCCCTTAACCTTGGGGGCCCCGCCGAGGTCGAAGACAGTAATGACCACTTTTCTAGTGGTCGACCTCCCCACCGCGTACAACGCCATCCTCGGCCGACCAACCCTCAACAAGGTCAAAGCCATCGTCTCAACTTACTACCAAACTATCAAATTCCCGACTCACGCCGGGGTCGGGGAAGTCACGGGAAGCCCCCGAGAATCCAGGCGTTGTTACTTGACCGCCGTCTCGTTAAACAAGAGGGCGAGGATCGAACCACCGCTGGAGGATCCTCGGGAGATGAAGAGACCGACCCCCCATCCCGAGCCAAGGGAATCCACCGTTGACTTGCCGTTGCTAGAAGAGCGGACGGCCGGATCAGACGATCAAAATCGGGTTGGAGTTACCCGAGCGGGAACGAAAGCAGCTCGTCGGTCTCCTACAGGAAAATGCCGACGTCTTTGCCTGGTCGCCATCTGACATGACGGGCGTCGACCCGGAGGTCGCGCAACATCGCCTCAGCATCCTACCCGACGCTCGCCTGGTAAAGCAAAAGCCCAGGCGCCAAGCCCCTGATCGGCAACTCGTCATACGAGAAGAAGTGGACCAACTTTTAGCGGCCGGCTTCATAGAAGAAGACAGATACCCGCGATGGCTATCCAATGTAGTCCTCGTAAGGAAACACAATGGAAACTGGAGGATGTGCGTTGACTACACCAGCCTCAACAATGCATGCCCTAAAGATTGCTACCCCCTCCCAAAGATCGACCAGTTGGTAGACGCCACAGCCAGACACGCCCGCCTCTCATTTATGGATGTCTTCTCAGGATACAACCAGATCATAATGGCGCCCAAAGACCAAGAGCACACGGCCTTCCTCACCGATCAAGGGGTATACTTTTATAAAGTCATGCCTTTCGGATTAAAGAACGCCGGGGCTACGTACCAAAGAACAGTGAACAAGATGTTCGCCCACCAGATCGGGCGAAACATGGAAGTTTACATCGACGACATGATCGTGAAAAGCCAAGAGGCAAGAACTCATCTTACCGACCTGGCCGAGACATTCGCCACGCTACGCAGGTTCGGCATGCGCCTCAACCCCGCGAAGTGCGCTTTCGGCGTCACCTCGGGAAAATTCCTCGGGTTCATAATACACGAAAGAGGGATCGATGCCAACCCAGAGAAGGTCCAGGCAATTGTCAACATGCAGTCGCCTCGGACGATCAAAGACCTACAGCGCCTTAACGGGAGACTTGTCGCCATGTCACGCTTCCTTGCCCGATCGGGCGATCGCTGCCTCCCCTTCTTCAGGGCGCTGAAGAACCCGAAGAATTTTCAATGGACGACGGAGTGCGAGGAAGCCTTCAAGCAAATGAAGCAACACTTGGACAGCCTCCCCCGACTTGCCTCAGTCTCTCCCGGGGAAAAGCTCGGCCTCTACTTGGCTGCCTCCCAGCACGCAATCAATTCTGTTCTGATCAAAGAAAACTCCGGTGAGCAGCTACCGGTCTACTACGTCAGCCATGTCCTAAACGGGCCGGAAGAACGATACCCACTGATTGAGAAATTGGCACTGGCGCTTGTGCTATCAGCCCGGAAGCTACACCCCTACTTCCAGGCTCACCCAGTGGAGGTCATCACCAACCAACCACTTCGGCAGGTCTTGTCTAAATTTGATGTTGTAGGACGTCTTCTCAAATGGGCGGTGGAACTCGGCGAGCATGACGTACGATACGTGCCCAGAACTGCCATCAAAGCCCAATCCGTGGCCGACTTCATCGCAGAATTAACCCAGACCGAGGACACGGATCTGGAGCAACCTCCTGAACCATAGGTCCTGCACGTGGACGGGTCGGCCAACTCAAAGGGCGCCGGTGCAGGGCTGGTGCTGCGGTCTCCCGACGGACGATCATTCGAGCGCTCCCTCCACTTTGGGTTTCAAGCCGCCAACAACGAGGCGGAATACGAGGCGCTCCTAGCCGGACTCAGGTTGGCCCTCGAAATGCAAGTGGATGCCTTACACGTCCTCACCGACTCGCAATTGGTAGCCGAACTCAGCGGTGAATACGAGGCGAATACGAGGCTCGGGACCCAGTCATGGCCAAGTACCTGGCGCAGGTAAAGAACCTGACCACCAAGTTCTCTCACTTTGCATTATCCAATGTTCTGAGGGGAGAAAACGAGCGAGCAGATGCGCTAGCTAAACTGGCGTCGAAGCCAGCCCCCGGAGTCCGGCCCGAGATCGACAAGCTCCTTGCCCGTGCCATCGAAATCGTAGCCGCGGTCTCCGACGGCGCTCCAATCATGTGGGTGCAGGAGTTACTACGCTTCAAGCGGGACGGGACCCTTCCTCCCGACGAGGCTGCGGCTCGGCGCCTGCGTCGCACGCATGCATGGTACTCCGAGGTGAGTGGACGGCTCTATAAGCGGTCCTTCACATACCCCCTCCTACGGTGCTTGGAGCTCGACGAAGCTCAGGCGGTTCTGGCTGAAGTCCACGGGGGGGTCTGCGGGGAACACATCGGCGGGCGAACCCTGGCACACAAAATACTTCGCCAAGGTTACTACTGGCCGACCATGTGCCGCGACGTGAAGGCTTATGTGCAGCGGTGCAGTTCGTGCCAAGAACATGCCCGCACGCCCCGGCAGCCCGTGACCCCGCTCACCCTCATCGATTGCGCATGGCCATTTGCGCAGTGGGGTCTGGACCTGCTCGGGCCTTTCCCACTAGCCTCGGGACAGCGGAAGTACATCGTCGTGGGAGTGGATTATTTCACAAAGTGGGTCGAGGCCGAACCACTGGCCACGATCACGGAGCGGCAAATGGAGAAGTTCGTGTGGAGGAACCTGGTGACCCGGTTTGGCTTGCCCAAAACCATCATTACGGACAACGGGCCTCAGTTCGCCGGTAGAAGGTTCCGGGAGTTCTGCGCAAGCCACGGAATCCAGCTGAGGTTCAGCTCGGTGGCTCACCCTCAGACGAACGGGCTGGCGGAAGTAACCAATCGATCCATTCTAGACGGGCTCAAAAGAAGAGTGTCCGCAGCCCAATCAGCCTGGACGGACGAACTCCCGAGCGTCTTATGGTCGTTACGCACCACCCCCAAGACCGCGACTGGAGAGTCCCCCTACAGCCTCGCGTTCGGAACCGAGGCCGTCCTACCACCCGAGGTAGCCATCGCCACCCTTCGGACGAGAAACTACGACGAGAAAATCACGAACGAAGGACTTCGAGCCGGCCTCGACTTGCTCGAGGAGCGACGTGCCGACGCGCACCTGAAGGCCCTCTCTTACAAAAGAGCTGTCGCTCGGGTCTACAACCGGAAGGTACGGCCCCGACCGATTAAGTTAGACGACCTAGTCTTACGTAAGACCGAGGTCAACGACCCGACCCGCGCGAGGGGGAAGATGGCCACCAAATGGGAGGGACCTTATCGGGTCGACAAAATAGTCCGACCGGGTACATACCGGCTCGCGACAATGGACGATTCTCCTTTGCCGAGAACATGGAACGTCTAGAACCTTAGGAAGTTCTTCGCTTAAATAAAGCAATTTTTCGCTTAAGGGAAGAGGAAGTTCTTCGTTTAAGGAAGGAGCTTTTTCGCCCAAGGGAAGAGGAAGTCTTCTTCGCCTAAAGCAAGAAGAAGAAGACAAGCAACACACGAGAAGAAAATTTTGCTTTATATTTCAAAACTAAGAGTACAGGACTCGACCCCGACTTACAGGACTCGACCCCGACTTACAGGACTCGATCCCGACTTACAAAATTAACTAGCACCTTAAAATACAGGACCCTTCCTTATTATTATTATGGGACAACCAGGCGGTCGTCAAAGGGGACGTCCTCGGGCATGTCTACCCCTAGATCCTCGGGGTGAGGAGCGAAGGGGTCCTCCTCCACCTCGAGGCCAGGGTGACGAGCGCGAAAACGGGACGTGGCGACTCGGTATCCGTACTCAAAGGATACCCGCCCCGTCCGCGTTAGCCCGAGTTCGAACCCCTCGGACTTCTTATACGCCTCGAGGAGCTCCTTATCTTTGGCGGGTCGAAGACGGGCTTCCTTCGCCAATGCCTCCAAGGCCGCTCTCGTCTCGGCCTTCGCCTCCTCCAGCTTCTTGCTGAGGGCGCTCGCCTCCGTCTTCAACAGACGGAGCTCGATCCGCTCCACCCTTATTGTTTTTTGGAGCTCCTCGTTTGCTTTCTTGGCGGCCTCGAGCTCCGACCTGAGGCGAGCCGCCTCCGCCTCAAACTCCGTCGCGCGCTTCTCGACGGCCGCCACGGCCTCCGGGCCGGCCCCGGCTCGGACCTCCTCGACTTGGCGGTGGAGCTCGACGTTGCGGTTGACGAGGCCCCCGATGACCCGGCCGGCGTCACGCACCCTGTCCATCAGGGCCGTCGCATAATGGAGGCCCTGCAAAAGGAAAGACGGGTTAGAAAGGGCGACGTCATACGAACAAACCCAAACAAGAAAAGAGAAGTACTTACCCAGATCAAGGATTGGGCGGACTTGTTGAGCAGCACCTCCGAGGGCAGGACGTACAAATCCCGAGCCATGTCGGGATGAAGCGCGCCTCGGAGGAACGCTGCGGAGGGGTCCCCTCCGGCCCACACTCTGTCCCCCCGGGACAAGCCCCCCCAGCGAGCGACCAGGGGGTCGCTAGACTCCCCGAGTGGGATCTCGCTCACCAACCGCGACTGGAACGGCTCCCCGTCCCCGGCTGGTAGTCGGCACAGGTCACGTACGGAGGTAGGGCGCGGACCCTTCCCAACCGCCCGCCGACTAGGCCCGGTCTCGCCCCGACTGGGGCCCGCCTCAGGCCCCTTCGAAGGTGCTGCCTTCGCCTTCTTCCGAGGGCGCCCGGCCTCGACCTCCAGTGGGGCGTCCTCCGAGCCGGACTGTAGGTCGGCCGGCGGAGCTGGGGGAGGAGCTTGCGACGCCTGACCCCCCAAAAGCGACCGGAGGTTCACCATTTCTACAAAAAACAAGAAAAGTGTTAGTACCAGAAATGAACCACGCAAATACCCGAACCAAACGTCACTAACGTACCCAGAGGCATCGGGCTGAGACCAGCCTCGACCAGTCATTGCTCGGTCATGTTCCGGATGGCCTGCGACCTGAGGAGAATCTCTTTGAGCCTCCCCAGATCTTGGCGCTCTGCTTCGCCCAAGCATGGGGTGGTATTGTCGATCGCCCTCGCGGACCACCGAACCCCAAAACCCCAGTCCCGTGCACGGCAAATGTAAAAAAACCTCCCCTTCCACCCTTTATTATTGGAAGGGGCCCCTCCGACTCGAAAGCCCGTCCGGGCAGATAGGAAGTAACCCCCCGAACCCTTGGAAAGGCGGTAACAGGAAAGAAAGAGATTGAGGGTGGGGGTGATATTGGCGTAGTGGCATTCCCCCAGGAATACCACTAGGTAACGCCAAGAGTTCGGCGCCACTTGAGATGGAGAAATCCGCCAGAAAGACAGGCAGGACACAATGAGGGGATGAAGGGGAAAGCGAAGACCCGCCTTT